AAAAGGAGCAAAGACCGGGCAAAGGGAGTGATAGGCCATGTTCACGGTTTCCCATTGGAGTTCACAGTCTCCTAAGGCCGTGAACCGCAAAGCGCCCAGGGCGAATTCAGAGGTTATTGACGCCGAGTGAGTTCACCGTCACCAAGACCTTGAACTTTGAGTGCAAACCGTGAACTTAAGTGAGTGAAGCGGTGCGTTTCGACACAGCACTCCGAGTTCACGGACGCGTTGAAGAGTTCACGGCTGTGAACTGAGCCCGATCTCAGTATAAAATGTGTGCTGAAAGGAAGAAGAGGGGAGCTCCATTTTTAGGTTAGGTTTTCATTTTCAGGATAAAGAGGATTCTAGTGAGAGGTTAGGGTTACTTCTAGAGTGAGAAAGTGCAAATCAAAGGAGGAAGAAGGAGCTTTGGGCTTGTTCCTCGCTAGAGGATTGAAGATTTCTTCATCTCAAGGGTGTATCAAGCAACAAAGAGGAAGGATTGGCATCACTTCATGGTTGTTTCTTCCCCTTTTGTTGTTTCCCTTTGTCTAGCTATGGAATAGCCTACCTACTCACTTGGGTATTGTGAACCCTAGTCTATCTATGTGTTAGGATGTAAGAACATGAACCTATGGTGCTGTTTGAGTGTTTTCTATGATATTTGAGGTATTATTCATGAATGATTGAGTGTGCTAACTCTAACTCAATATTAAAATTGACCTAGAGGGTGGAAATCCCCTTTTGGTCCAATAGGAAGCTAGACTTCTTAGCCACTTGGGTAACCTCCTTTAGGTCGATTTAAGACCAAAATCTCAAATATCGGAGTAGGGCCGTGATTCCACCGGGATAGGTCTCTCCGCCGACCGGATTAAGTTCCGAGGGTTTGGTTTGCAATCCTTAGTCGGCTAGTTGAGAGGGTTAGGTTTCCTAGCATATCGTTGTCACCCTTAGCCAAAATTTTAAGTGATTTAGCTTTCTAATTGTTGTAATGATTCTCAATTAGCTGACAAAAAGAGATAGAGATCTCCTTGGTTGATCGGTAATGAGGGCTAGGTTCCCTAGCTATGAATCATAATCTTTCACCTAACGGTTAATAGAGCTAGTTCCCCTAGCTTATAATTGTTGATTTCCCCTCATTGATCGACTAAGGGAGTTTGTTTCTAGCTAGTGGCGCCCACCTTGCGGTGTATGAACACTTTCTTCACACTAGAGCTTTGTTTGTCCCTTCCTAGGGGGAGCAATACCCAGGTGAAGTCCCCTCAAGTAGAATTCTCCTCCATTTACTTTCCTTGTCTGTTCATTTTGTAGTTTTCTTAGCTTTAAACCCAAAAACGTTTGCTAGATAACAATCTAAGCGATTGAAGTAGGGATATATGGACTGGTCCGGGTCGACATTCTAAATACTTTCCCTATACTGCACCCGAATAGAGTTTAAAAACTTGGGCTCTAGTCGGGATTAATTTGTGGTGTAGTTTCGTGCGAGTCAATGCTTACCAAGGTTGTCATACCCTTATCCGACCGACCGGTCTGACCGGGTCCGACCAGAACTGGGCATGCAAACGGCTCCAACCAACCATATTTTGGACTAGCCAGTAACCGGTCAAAATCACTCAAAATCGTGAAAACCCGGGGTCTGACCAGTTGTCGCGGCTTTCGGTTATTGACTAAATCTAACTTCTAAACCTAACTCTCATTTCCCTTCTGCCTAGCGAGCTAGCAGCCAACAGTTGCTCTCATCTCTCCAAAATCCAACTCCGTCCTTTCGCCTGCATTTGCTCCTCAACCCCCGACTCGCCGTTTGCTCCCATCTTCGACGATGGCTCCCCGCGCGTCGCTTGATGCCGCCCACGCGATGCCAAATCTAACATCTCTCTTTTCTTTCTTGTCCATTGATCATGGGCTCTCTATAAGTTTTCCTTGGTGCTCTCATCGGATTGTCAGGTTGAGGTCATCCTTTGGATTGGATTTTGCAGGTTTCTTCTTGTGGCTTCTTTCTGTCCGGCGGGTTCTGAGTCATCAGAATCCTTCTCCACTAGCGACTACTCCATTTAGGTGGCGGTTGTGCCCCTCTAGGTGGCGACTGCTCCATCTCTAGGGAGATGGAATTCGGTTGGGTTCTTAAGGTTTGTTCGGGCCCAAAAAGTAATGAGGGGTTTTGCTTTATTTATGGGCTGATGTAATGAATTTTTCTATGTTATTAATTTCTTTTCATGAGTCGCCCTAAAATCTGTGACAAAAATGGTTCCCCAATATCCATTATCCATCTTTCCTATCAAAATCGGTTTAAACCAACTGAACCCAGATCTAACCATTAAACCTCAAACCCCTTGCCAAACCGACTTGATAACTTAACCCAGTTTGACAACCTTGATGCTTACCTTTGTGATCAACTGGTTGCCCCCGAATTCAGGAATCCATCTGTCCAAACTAAATCCAAGACGTTGATGCTGCATAACCAGCTCTCTCTCTCTCTCTCTCTCTCTCTCTCTCTCGCGCGGTGGCTTCGATACGTGGTGCGGCGACGTTCCTTTTCTGCACTCCTCTTAATGGGGAAAGTAGATCTCGTCAGTAAACTATAGGTGAATAACTATGCATAATATTTTCCCATTTAATCTTTAACCGACGATTTCTCTCTTGTTTTAAGTCAAAATTTAAATTTTTTGTACGGATAAATCATATTAATTGCGCTCTTCAAAATGATATTCACTTTGATATATTTTTTAAACAAAACAAATTAAGGCATTTTTTACCAGTCCATACCATGGTGGTATTGATTGGTATTAAAATAAGAGTATACAATATGGTAAGAAAGTGTACCACAAGATACCACCCATAATTTTTTCGATCCAAATAGATCATGATTAACTCGTTCCGTCTGTGCAAATATATTCAAAAACGACTTCAAAACAAAGGAGATGCCATATGTAAGGAGTTGGTAACGAGAGGTATGAAAAAAAAATCTCAAACAATATTGAAAATAGATATCATTTTGTAGAGCACAACGAACTTGTTCTATCTGTGCAAAAAAAAAAAAATATTAAAATCCAAGTTGGAACAAAGAAGATAAGAGCCGATTAAGAAAAATAGAGAAAATAAAAATGTCTTTAATTCTCCACTCTTAGATCTGGATTTTCTGAGCCCGCTTAGAAAGTAAGGTCCAAATTTAGTTATGCACCCTAACAACCCTTATAACGAAATTCGTAGCTTCTATGGAACTCGATAGCGTTTTGAAATATAATCCTCAAACCTCAATCAGTTTAACATAGAACCAATCGATCTATTAATTAATTTTTAAAAATGAATTTACTAGTCGGCTCCAGCACCCATTAACTTATTCTTGCGCAAACCAACGGTAATATTATCATCAAGGATTATACGGGTACAAATGTGAAGCATGAGTTTCGCAAGGAAATTGAATCAAACCAGACATGAGGGATATGTGGTTTGGTTATGGTCCAACCAATATTGGTTACTCAATTATCGGTTAACTAGTTTATGACTTATCAATAATAGAATCGATTACTGACGAGAACTAACGGGTAAATGAGTAATCGATTATTGCTTACCTGACCGGTTAATCAGATTATCGACACTAAAATCCCCAAATGTCAAAATTGAGTAAAATACCCTTGAAACCTTTTAAATTTTGAAATACGCCATCATACTTAAATGTTTCTTATTTTTCTCAAAATTGCTACATCAACCAAACGAACACCACTGCCCAGACTAATTTATGACTAATAGACTACTAGTATGAGTAGACGACTTTGGAACCTTGTTAACACTCGCGGAGCTATTACCTCCGCGCTGCTATCCCATTGTTCTTTCTTCGAGATTTCCTCTTCCTCTTCCATGTCGTCTTCTTCTTCTTCATTTGTCTCTCCCTTATGAGCTAATCTCCTTTGTTGTTTGGATGAGATGAACTCTAGCCATGTTTCTTTGAATTGATTGAATCAATATAAATGTAGATGTTTGTTTTCCTTTGATCGACCATTAACTTATCTTTTGCGTACCAATAATATGATACTAATAGAGAATATAAATATGTGATCAATTAATAATGAACAGACAACTATTATTCTTTCTTTTTCATTATAAATTACTTTTGAGTTTAGTTTAGGTGTTCGAATAGTTAGAATGATAAATGAGTTGAGCTGGACGAAACCAAGAAATAACCCCTCACGAGCTCGAGCTGAACTTATAAGCTAATTAATGAGCGGAACTCGAGTAGAGCTCGTGAGGTCAAGTCAAATTAGAGTAAAACATTATCCAAGGTTCGACCAAACTTATTTCAGCTCGTCTCATTCACAATCATATCCCGAAGCAATCTTTGAAGTGAGGAGTTAAGGTTCTATCCAACACTCTAATAATCTTCATGGGCTAAATTACACGTTTGGTCACTCAAATTATACAAATCTTTCACGTTTTCCACCCAAATTACTTTTCTTTCTTATTTGCCACTAACTTTACGAATCGTTTCATGGTTGGTCACCGGCCGTTACACTCCGTTAAGTTTGTCCTACGTGGCAGTCAACTATAAAGTTTGACCGTTAACTAGATGACGTGGAAATAAAATAAAATAAAATAAAATTTTCTTTCCACCTCATCATTGCACTCATTTTGTCTATATCATTTATCATATTAATAATTTAATAAATTACAAAAATGGACAAATCCAAATGCTCATCATCCTCACCTTCACCATCCACTCCATCGTTCAAATGGGCAAATCCAAATGGGCAAATCCAAATGCTCTTCAGAACCCTATTACTATTGATATGGCCAGTGAAGAGATGCGGATTCGATGCAATCTAACAACGGCGGGGAATTCAGCTTCGCGTCCTCTCCGAGGACGACGTGGAACCGCGCCGGTGCTGGTCGCAACGGGCTGCCGAAGATCCAGACGCAGGACAACGACAAGAAGCTGAGCAGCGGCGCCGGCGCCAGAGGAGCGGCGGCGGGAGCAGAGGATTTATGTTACGACGACAGTGCGTCCCCGGTGAAAGCTCAGACGCTGGATGAGCTCCATTCGCTCCAGAAGAAGAGATCCACTCCGTCTACCCCAATCACCGCCGACACCACCCCAGCCGGCGCTGCCGCAAGTCAGGGCGCCTTCTTCACCGCCGTGTCGGAGGAGGACCGCCAGCGCCAGCAGCTGCAGTCCAATAGGTCCAAAATGATTAAACATTTAGTTAACTAATTAGCAAATTGATTTGTTATGAATGTTGATGTGACTTGAATCGGACTATCAGCCGCTACGACTGGTAATCGGGGGCGGTGGGGGTGCGGGGGCAACGCCCCCGGCCCATGGTGTATGGGCTCAATGTTATTTGGGTTCGGGTTCTGGGCCTGGTCTGTAACCATTTCCTTTGCTAGATTGGATTAGGTTTAGACCCACATGGAGAAGTACTATAAATACTTCTCATACTCCTCTGTAATCTGTAATCTCCTTGATATAGTGAAATCGGCTCTCTCTCGCCCGTGGACGTAGCTAACACACATCGTGTTAGTGAACCACGTAAATCGTGTGTCGTGTTTTCGATTCTCGCTTTCGTATTCTTGCTTTGTCGATTCCGGCGATTTCCCGATCCGTAGCAGCGCGTTTATAACAAGTGGTATCAGAGCCGCGGTTGGAAATCAGGCTAGGGTTTTTGATTTAGAAGAATGACGTCGGTGAACATGAAGATCGAAAAGTTCACGAGGAAGAACAACTTCGCTATATGGCAGATCAAGATGCAGGCTTTATTAAAACAGCAAGGGCTGTGGGGGCCGCTGTCTGCGAAACAGAAGAAGGCAGCGGTCGATGACGATGAGTGGAATAACCTGGAGGAGAAGGCCCACTCGACCATCATGCTATCATTGTCTGATGACGTCATCATTGAAGTCGCTGCTGAGAAGACTGCCGCGGGCTTGTGGTTAAAGTTGGAGAGTCTGTATATGACGAAGTCCTTAACCAACAAGCTGCATCTCAAGCAACGGTTGTTCAGCTTGAGGATGCAAGAAGGTACGCCTTTGAGGGAACATCTCGAACAGCTTAACTCTATTTTGCTGGATCTGCGTAATATAGATGTTCAAGTTGATGACGAGGATGCTGCCCTAATCCTGCTGGTTTCTTTGCCGAGTTCATATGAGAATTTTGTTGATTCTTTTATTGCTGGTAAAGAAAGCGTGTCGTTGGAGGATGTCAGGTCTGCTCTTCATACGAGAGAGATCAGACATAAGGCGTCCGTATCTGGTACAGGTGGTGAGGCATCGGGTTTGGCTGTTACAGGTGGAAAGGGAAAGAAGAAATCTGGTAAAGGGAATTCGAACAAGAATTCCAAGGGTCCCGGTCCACAGCCAGGTGATGCTTGTCACAACTGTAAGGAAGTGGGGCATTGGAAGTACAACTGTCCCAAGAGAAGAAGGCAACAGAAGAAACAAGCTTCAGTTGCCATGGCAGAAGTGGACAACAGTTCTGAAGACGATCTCGCCTTGGCTGTAGATGAGAAGGCACATCGTGGGGATGTGTGGTTTCTGGATACTGCAGCCTCATACCATATGTCTCCGAACAGGGAATGCTTCACAACCTACGAGCAGATAGATGGTGGTAACGTGGTCATGGCTAATGGAGCTGTCTGCAAGGTTGTTGGAATCGGGTCCATAAAGGTTCGGACACATGATGGTTCGTTCAGTACCGTGAATGATGTCAGGCATGTTCCACGAATGACAAAGAACCTGATCTCCTTGAGTCTACTCGACAGCAAGGGTTTCAGCTTCAAAGGAAAAGGTGGAGTTGTGTATGTCTGCAAAGGTTCAAGGAAGGTGCTGAAGGGCGTGAAGCGTGGGACCTTGTATGCATTACAAGGGTCTGTGTTGTCTGGTTCTGCTGCAGTTGCATCGTCTCAGGTTCAACAGGAAGATATGACCACTCTCTGGCACATGAGACTGGGGCATATGAGTGAACGGGGGATGCAAGTTCTGTCGAAGAGGGATCTTCTTTGCGGGCACAAGGTGCAGGATTTGGAATTCTGCGAGCATTGTGTGTTTGGGAAGCTACATCGCAGCAAGTTTCCCAAGAAGGGTATCCACCGGACGAAGGGGATACTGGATTACCTCCACTCCGATTGTTGGGGTCCTTCACGAGTTGAATCCATTGGAGGCAGCAGGTATTTTCTGTCTATTATTGATGATTATTCGAGATTTACTTGGATTTTCATGATGAAGCAGAAAAGTGAGGCTTTCACGAAGTTCAAGCAGTGGAAGACATTGGTGGAGAATCAGACCGGTAAGACGATCAAGAAGCTGCGAACGGACAATGGTCTGGAGTTCTGCAGTTCTGAGTTCAACGAATTCTGCAAGGATGAAGGGATTGCCCATCATCGGACTGTTAGAGATACACCCCAGCAGAATGGCGTTGCAGAAAGGATGAACCAGACATTGTTGGAGAGAGCACGGTGCATGCTCTCTAATGCTGGACTAGAGAGAAGATTCTGGGCAGAAGCAGTAAACATGGCGTGCTTCCTGATCAACCGTGGACCTCACACAGGTATCATGTTGAAGACTCCTTATGAGGTGTGGTATGGTAAGCTTGCTGATTACTCTTCATTGAAAGTTTTTGGGTGTCCTGTTTATTATCATGTGGATGAGGGTAAACTGAACCCAAGGGCAAAGAAGGGTGTATTTGTGGGTTACAGAGACGGAGTTAAGGGATTTCAAGTCTGGTCACCTTCTGAGCATCGAGTTATACTCAGTAGAAATGTGATATTTGATGAGAAGTCTATGTTTAACCCCATGTTGAAGGTTACTGTTGTTGAAGGTAGCAGGAATGTTGATAAGCAGGTGGAGCTGCAAACTCTCAATGAGAGTGAGTTTGAGCACCAAGGTGGAGAAGATCAACATGATGAGGATGTCTCTGCAGAGCCAGAAACTTTAGAGTCCAATGCACGAGCTAAACAGTCTATTGCTTCCGGTAGACCGAAGAGAGCGACTGCAAGAGTACCTCCAGAGAGGTATGGCTTCGAGGACATGTGGCGTATTCATTTCAGGTTGCTGAGGAAGTGGATGCAGGAGAGCCACAGTCCTATAGAGAAGCAGTTTCGGGTGGTGAAGCTGATCAGTGGCTTGCCGCAATGGGAGATGAGATGGAATCCCATGACAGGAATCAGACTTGGGAGCTAGTCAAACGACCACAGGGAAGGAAGATTGTTACAAACAAGTGGATCTACAAGAAGAAGGAAGGAATCACTTCTAAAGAGGGCATGAAATTTAAAGCTCTGGTGGTTGCACGAGGCTTCTCGCAGAGGGAAGGAGTTGACTACAATGAGATTTTCTCACCAGTGGTCAGACATACTTCGATCAGAGTGCTACTAGCAATAGTGGCACATTATGACTTGGAGCTCGAGCAGCTAGACGTGAAGACAGCTTTCCTCTATGGAGAGTTGGAGGAAGAAATTTACATGACTCAGCCAGAAGGATTCGAGGTTCCGGGAAAAGAAGACTATGTTTGTAAGCTGAAGAAGTCCTTGTATGGACTTAAGCAATCTCCGAGGCAGTGGTACAAGAGATTTGACAGTTACATGCTTGAGCTGGGCTACAACAGAAGTCCATATGATTGTTGTGTATATCACAGCAAGGCAGAGGATGGTTCGATGATATATCTAGTTCTGTATGTGGATGATATGCTCCTAGCTGCGAGGTCAAAGTCTGATATCCAGAAGCTAAAGGGGCTTCTTAGTGCTGAGTTTGAGATGAAGGATTTGGGAGCTGCTCAGAAGATCTTGGGTATGGAGATTTACAGGGACAGGTCGAAGAAGAAGTTTTTCTTGTCATAGAAGAGCTACATCCAGAAGATACTGTCGAGGTTTGGCATGTCTTCAGCAAAGCCCTTAAATACTCCTAGTGCTTCAAATGTTCATCTATCCTCAGCGTATGCACCGCAGTCAGAGGCTGAGAAGGAGTACATGTCAAGAGTCCCATATGCTAGTGCAGTAGGTAGCTTGATGTACGCTATGGTATGCACTAAACCTGATCTTGCACATGTTGTTAGTGTTGTCAGCAGGTTTATGATACAACCTGGAAAGGAGCATTGGCAGGCTGTGAAGAGGATCTTCCGGTACCTTAAGGGTACACCTGATGTGGGGATTAGCTTCGGAAGTGATACAGAGTGCTTGGTGTCTGGGTATTCTGACTCGGACTATGCTGGAGATGTTGACACGAGGAGATCGATGACCGGTTATGTATTCACTCTTGGGAGTTCTATAGTGAGCTGGAAGGCAACTCTGCAGTCGGCGGTGACATTGTCTACTACTGAGGCAGAGTATATGGCGTTGACAGAAGCTGCTAAGGAGGGAATATGGTTGAAGGGACTCGTTGGTGATCTGGGTCTACATCATGATCAGGCAGTAATGTATTGCGACAGTTTGAGTGCAATATGTTTGGCCAATGATCAAGTCCACCATGAGAGGAGTAAGCACATCGACGTGAGGTATCATTTCTTGAGGACAGAGAAGAGGATTAAGGTGAAGAAGGTTGGCACCGCGGATAATCCTGCTGATATGTTCACGAAGCCGGTTCCACATGGCAAGTTCCAACACTGCTTGGACTTGCTGAATGTCTTGAGTGGGTGACTCTGCCCTACGGGGCATTGATGGCGGGAGAGAGAGAAGGAGCAGAGTACATCAGAGATTTCAGAGGAAGAAGATTCAAGTCAAGGTGGAGATTTGTTGATGTGACTTGAATCGGACTATCAGCCGCTACGACTGGTAATCGGGGGTCTCGCTGCCCGGTCATCGAGTGGGGTCCAGGGGCAACGCCCCGGTGGGGGTGCGGGGCAACGCCCCCGGCCCACGGTGTATGGGTTCAATGTTATTTGGTTCGGGTTCTGGGCCTGGTCTGTAACCATTTTCTTTGCTAGATTGGATTAGGTTTAGACCCACATGGAGAAGTACTATAAATACTTCTCATACTCCTCTGTAATATGTAATCTCCTTGATATAGTGAAATCGGCTATCTCTCGCCCGTGGACGTAGCTAACACACATCGTGTTAGTGAACCACGTAAATCGTGTGTCGTGTTTTCGATTCTCGCTTTCGTATTCTTGCTTTGTCAATTCCGGCGATTTCCCGATCCGTAGCAGCGCGTTTATAACAATGAAAAAGAGTCAATTGATTAACGAAAAAAATGAGAAGTGCAGTGCCGTCGCTGACTCGATAGACGGGGCCGAAGGTGGTGAAGGGCGATTCGGCGAAGAGGTGGAAAGAATTTTTTTTTTTTTTAATTTCCACGTCATCTAGTTAACGGTCAAACTTTATAGTTGACTACCACGTATGACAAACTTAACGGAGCGTAACGGCCGGTGACCAACCGTGAAAAGATTCGTAAAGTTAGTGGCGAATAAGAATGAAAAGTAATTCGGGTGGCAAACGTGAAAGATTTGTATAATTTGAGTGACCAAACGTGTAATTTAGCCGATCTTCATGGTTTAGGAATTTACCCGTTAAAATGAATAACACAACTCAACAAAGAAAATCAGGAGATTAAAAAAAATTTAATTTCAGACTATTATGTTGATCCAAAGGCTTAACATTTTGTCAAATGAAACTATGTATAATTTTAAGGCTATGCATTGCATCCGTCACCATTTAAGAACCTGTGGAATTTTTTTATGGTACACCAAATTCAGAGCCCCCGCGGCAACCGTGTTAGTACTTAGTAATCGTCGGTAGGTTGAAGCGTTGAACGGCGGTGGAGGAATACACATTTGACATTACACACTGTCGTGGCGGAGCCGTCGAAACGTGGATTTTGTTGCGTCATAAACGTGGCAGAAAAGCTAAAAATAAACTTCTCATCGGAGGTCGAATAAACAAACACATAAATTAATTTTACGCCAATTTCGTAGAAAAGAAAGAAACGAACCTAAAATACACCAAAACCAATTGTTTCCTTGTAGTTGTAGGTTCCTCTTCTTCTCCTCATCTCTTATACACAAAAGAGATCAAACCAAACCCAAAATAAGCCTTTGATTGCAGACCAAGGTTGTCAACCCGCGGGTCGACCCGGATTAACCCGGACCCGGCCAAAAAACGGGTCATACCAACCCATTTTCAAGTCAGCCCGGAAATAGTCAAACTCGGAGAAACCCGGTCAAACCCGGGTTGACCCGGCCGGTTAGCCCGTTGGAGCGGGTCAGCGGGTTGCTCTTTTCCATTATTTGCGACCCGAGCCTCTCCATTACCTTTAGTTCCCTGAGTCATAGTCATTTGGTAAGGGTTTGGGACTTGGTTCCAATAAATGGAACGAAAGATATATGTGATGTTTTGTGAATGATTTAAGTGATGTTGAATTTTTACTATGTTGAATTTAAGTTGGTGTTATTTAAGTGTGTTGGAGTTGAAGTAGTGTTGCATTTTTTTATGTTGGATTCAGGATAAGTATAATATAATTACATTTTCCATATTTCCGGGCTAAACCGGGCTAAAACGGGTGACCCATTGACCCATGACCCACTAGCTCATCCGGGTCCGGGTCGACCCGCGGTTTGACAACCTTGTTGCAGACAATTCAGAAAGCAGACGAAGAAAAGTTAGAAGCTTCCTTCTCTTCCTCAATCTCTATTTCTCTCTCTCTCTCTCTCTCTCTCTCTCACGCTGTTTGTTGGTCGCCCAGGCCGCGTTCAACTCATCAACGCCGGCCACCCTCGCCAGCGAATTTATCTGTGATCTTTTGTTTTATTTGATAACAGCAATTCCTTTGATCAATCGACATCTTTCCGGCTCGATTCGCGAGTAACCCACCACCACTTAGTACTCATGGCCACCACCGGGAACAAGAACATCAACGCTAAATTGGTGAGTCCTGATTCCTTATCATCCGTGTTTCAATTGTGGGTTTTGTTAGGTGGGGGTTTTCTCCTTCGCTTTACTACCGATTCAGGGCCGCCGCCGCCCCGATCGTTTGCTGTGACTGATACAATAGCTTTTTGAGAGGTCTTTCTCTGCTTTTTGGGGGTAATACTGAATTCGGATGTGGGTTTATGTTTTACTCTTCTCGATCTCGTCCGTGTCGCCCAATTTTACATTTCAATTTTGGAGGTCCATTCTGTTGATGATCGACTTTGCTAGCTAGCGCCTTATACATCTCTGATCAGAGCTCATACAGCTGTCTCTTTCTCCCAGTTTCTGACTGGCGATTCTTTCAGTACTGCATGTCGTTGTCGGTCTGAACTTTCTGGGCCGTTCCCTTCCGTTGTCGAGGGCTCTTTAAGCGGCGGATGACTTGCTTATGCTTTCCTTGAGCTTGCTTGTCAATGTCCACCACGATGGGTTTAGAAGCATGGTTCTCTTTTTTGGCTAAACTTGAATTAACTACGGCGAATTCAGTTCATTGGACTGTTCGCTGCTACTGCATGTGCACAGCTTATTGAAAGTACCCTTCTTACCTGCCACTTTCATAACTGAGTATATGGGTAGTTCCCGAACAAATCTATCTCTAACAGGGTCATCCTGTAATCTGATTTGCCTGGAAAGGTAGCAAGAACAGTGGAATTTCTTCTGCAGCTCTCTGGTTTTTGTTCTTTTTACTCAATTGATTGGAAGTTCACTATTCTTAAGTCTAGTTTCAATTGGCACTATAGTTGCTTAACTCTACCCATTAAGAAAGTTTGTTGTTCAAACATATGTTTTGTTGTTCACCTTTCTTTGTTTGATTTGAGTTTGTCCAGCTAATCTCAATGCGGCTTCTTAAGTAGGTTTCATATAGCTGCATTTGAAATTAAAGTGGTATTCCGTTGATCGATTGAAAATATGTATCCTAACCAAACTTTAATATGATCCAGGTTCTCCTTGGCGACCCTGGTGCTGGAAAATCTAGTCTCGTTCTGCGATTTGTCAAAGGGCAGTTTGTTGAGTTTCAGGTTGGTCCAAGGAATAATTTGGAGATTTATAACATAGTCATTGCATCTTTCATGGTTGGTCTTTAAACTTGAATTTTGTTGTGTTTATTTAGGAATCAACAATTGGTGCTGCCTTCTTTTCACAAACATTGGCTGTGAATGATGCTACTGTGAAGTTTGAGATATGGGACACAGCAGGTCAAGAGAGATACCACAGCCTTGCACCCATGTACTATCGGGGAGCTGCAGCAGCAATTATTGTGTATGACATTACGAATCCGGTGAGTAGCAGTCTATTGTTCCTGACAGTGTCAACTGGAATTGGATTGTTTTTTATTCGTTATGTTCATTGGATATACTTTGTTATTAAAAAGTTGTTGGATGTTAGCTAAATAGTCATGGTAAGGTTTTGCTTGCTAGTGTATGCATCTTTTCTTTTCCTCGGTTGCTCCAAGCTATTCGTTTATTTATGTTCCGAGTTTGCAATTGTGTGTGTCTAATTTTAGGCTGTTATCAAGGCTTCACCTCTGTTGTTTCTTGTAGGCCTCATTTGATCGGGCAAAGAAATGGGTGCTAGAACTTCAAGCACAAGGTAACTTTTGCTCGTTAAATCTATTAGGAATTGTTCTATTCCCTTAACAGTATATTTCTTTTTGTTGTTTTGTTTAATTCATTATGAACCCCCTTTTAGAATTATTGCTTGAATGTAAAACTCATTCGGATTGAGAAGAAGCTTTGTTTTTAAGCATTCCCTGACGGTTTACATTTGTTCTTGTACATTGTACTGATTTGCTGTGTGTTAATCCAGTTTCTTGTCCAACCTGTTCACATTATATATCTTATCATTGTCATGAAGGTAATCCAAATATGGTTATGGCTCTGGCTGGGAACAAGGCTGATTTGCTTGATGATAGGAAGGTGGCAGCTGAGGCAAGTGTCTAGACCTGTTGAACTCCTGCACTATTTCTCTCTCTTTCTTACTTCGTCTGTATGTTTCTTGTCCCTGCCCTGATTTCCATGGCTTTAGGGAAGCAGCGGCAGTAGCTTAAATTTAATACTGGATCATCTTGTTATTAACATGGTGCGGATTTTTCAGGAGGCACAAGTCTACGCTCAGGAGAATGGCCTTTTCTTTATGGAAACCTCAGCAAAAACTGCAACGAATGTCAACGACATTTTCCATGAAATAGGTACCTTGCTTCCGGGATCGAATTTGTTAAATAGAGTTAAAAATGACCATGCACCTTGTTCCGGTGACTGCATATCTGTTTGTTGCCATGTTTTTCTATTGATTGTTTTGACACTGTATCTTCTTGCTTGCAGCGAAAAGACTACCACGAGTTCAGCCTTCACAGAACCCCGCTGGGATGGTTCTCACGGATAGACCCGCTGAAAGGGCAGCTAGTGCGACCTGCTGTTCATAAAATGCTGATGTTTCAGTTTCTCCAATATGTACCTTCTGAGTGGCTAATCTTCTGGTAGTGAATGCTGAATCGTATTGTAATCCCATTGATTGATCGGTTGGATGGCGTGTGCTAAGACGTGTACATGAATGCTTGATTTGGAAACTCGGTGAAAGAACAGAATCAGAGTGATTCTGGTGTTTGCTTTATCTGTTTAGTATCCGTTAAAGTACACATGGGTATCCCGGACAAAATGCGAAGACCATTGTAATTCCCCCCTTTTTCTTTTTGTTATATACTTCTATTGCCTGGGTTGCTGATTGTGAGTCTCCGACGACGTCCGTGCTCGTCCTGTTTACGCTGTTATATCATAAATAATAATGTGAGCCGGATGCAAATATTCAATAGCCCCGTCGTGGTCTCAACAGGAAGATAGCTCATTGTTATCTCCACTATGACGATTTAGCAGTAATATTCTATCTTGGCCTGCAATTAAGTGTAAATGACACATTTGTCATGAATTTTCAAATAATGTAGGTGAGGAGTTACGTAGTCAAACTTCCTTAGAGTTCCTTTGACTAGCAACCTTGATCCTCAACATATGAGCTACTTGAGCATTGCTAGGTTGATTCATACCATGTGTCTTGGCATTTATCAGGACTAATATGCAACAACATGGATCCCACAAATATGTGCTTTAAGTAAGTCGATGCTGATTGATTGATTGAGAATCAATCGTGAGGAATTATCGTGTCCAGTCTCATCAACCCACGAAGCCAGATTTAAGGATATATCGTTTGAAGATATTCCTCATATTACGTATGCAATCACATCAACAACAAACCAAGCAAAGAAATGAAAGAGAAAGGATGGGTAATTAGCATAAATGGTCACAAACCTTTGCACTTAGTACAAAACAGTCACAAACCTTTAATTTGTAACCTTTTGATAACAAAACTTTTTATTTAGAACAGAACGGTCACAAATTAAACAGTGTGACCATTTCATATCAGTTCGAACTTTTGTTACCGTGTCGTTGCAAATTAGACTTTTGGTGACCGTTTTGTACACATTAAGTTCAAAAGTTTGAACGATCAATCACCGTTACAATTTGCTCTAGTTGTATGGTGGTTTTGTTAATGTATGTGAATGATATGATCGTCATAAATGATGACAATGAGAGAATTCAATGGCTCACAAACGGGTTCCAGACTGCTTTTTAGTTGAAAAAACTCTGTCTACTTTCTTACTTTCTTGGTATCGAAATTGAAAGGTCAACTGAGGGCATTCTTTTTCGGCAAAGCAAATATGCCGATGAACACATGACCTGACATCTTATATGTTGTTCAAGTGGTTAGTGTCATATACTTAACGAACAAACAACCCGACCTCAAAACATGACAAACATTTAATTTGTAACGATTCGGTAACAAACCTTTGCACATAAAACAAAACGGCCACAAGTTAAATAGCAGTGACCATTTTATACAATTTCAAAGTTTTGTTACCGTATTGTTACAAATTAAAGGTTTGTGACCGTTTTGTACTAAGTGAAAAGGTTTGAAACCATTTATGCTAATTATCCGAGAAAGGATAGATAAAATCGTACTCATATATATCAAAACCAAGAGTTACATAATCAATGAACTTCTAGGGTTTGGAAACCTACACAACTAAGAAACTAGCCTCTCATGGGCACGAGATTCTAGGAGAACATCAGTCAAAACAAGACCCTCAAATTGTCCTCTACATAGGCGGCCAGAACAATGAATCAGCGGCAAGACCACCTTTTGCCACTGATTCAACTTCTGAGTTCGGCTTCACTAACGACCCTTTAATGCCTCCTACCACTTACCCCTTAATTTCTATGCCTAGGGGTCTATCTATAGGCCTATGCATCAATTTTTTTTTGGAGGAAAGGTCAGCCTAGAACACGTTTTTCGAGCTTGTTTGGGTCTCTTCCATCTTGGCCACCACAATTGGCATATTTGTTGAGATTCTAGGCTCAATCTAGAGACCCCCTAAAATGGCGAACAAGGCGCCATTTTGGGCTTTGGTCCACTGAATCCCATGACGATTCTTGGGCTTGATCCATTCTTGCATTATGATTTCCAGTAGTTGGGTCTTGATGTTCACTTACTCGTACAAGATGTTCCACTAGGATGCTTTGACCTGAAAGCACAAGAAACACTAGCAAAAGTGCATCACAATAGTAAAAACAATACTAGAGCTACTAAAACGCACCTTAAGTGATTATTAAGCAAATGCAAGTGATTATGGCACTTAAAATGTGAAACTTATTCAATTCTAGCCATAATAAAGGGTATAAATAGTCTTTCTATGTGTTATCAAGTAACCCCACACTTGAACTTTGCTTCTCCCCAAGCAAACCACACTCATAATTATAAGTGTCAAAATATGACCCGACCCGAGTAACCCGCCCAACCAACCAGATCCGCAACCCGCCCGCAATCCGAATGGACTAAAAGTCACCGACCCGCAACCCGAATGACCCGTAACCCGATTAACCCACAACCCGATTGACCCACAACCCGCTTGACCCGAACCCGATTGACCCGCAACCCGCTTGACCCGCAACCCGACTAACCCGAACCCGATTAACCCAACCCGAACCCGCCCGATTAGAACGAATAATACTACATAATATATTTTAGTGCATAAATATTATATATAGATAATATATATATAAAGTTTACCTGACTTTGCCCTGTTATTTTTTCATCTTTCCCACCAAGAATAAAACTCTATTTTGTATTGCCAATTGCCATTAAATTGAACCACATAATACTATAATAGTCTCATTGTCTGTCTTAGTAGATAAATAAAAATCCTAGAAGGGTTATAAACATTTCACTACAAGAAAAACAATGTTTTGCACCGGTTGCTTTGTGTTGGTTAACTTAAACGACACAAATTTTAGAATTTTTGTCGGTTATTTGAGTCGGGTAAGTGCCCGATGCCATTCTTTTGCTATTTATGTCGGTTAAATCTGCAACCGACACAATTCTCTAATATTTGTGTCGGTTAACATTTGAGTCTGCCAAAACCAGCACAATTATTCGAATTGAGTCGTTTCTTAACTGGCACAAAGTTCAATTTCAATTTTTTGGGGTTATTGACTCTAAAATATTTTCACATACCCGCCCAAATACCCCCTTCCCACCCAAATTGGCTCTCAATATTTCAATCATGGCCAAAATTTCCCAAGCGGGAGATTTCCCTCCCAATGTGCCTTGTTTAGATTTTTATCCGTCTCTCTTTTTCCCTAATCTGATTAGTCGCTTCCCTCTTCACTGTTCTTCTTTTCTCCACAAATTTCCCCTCTACTCTATCCATGGTGACGACCAGTACCACCTCAACCTAAAAATCTCCCATCGCAGGCTTCTTAGTCTCCACCAGTGTCTCGATTTGGCGATTCATCTCCTTCTTCTCCACAAAATGAAGGCCAAGCATGTGTTGGGTCCAGTTTTAATTGATTTCAGATGGTGGTAAAGCCACACTAGAAGCCATAGCGGCGCAACTCAGGGGGTTGTGGAGGCGGTGGTAAAGTGGCTGGAGGAGGAAAAATGAAGGGCTTGAGCGAGGGTGAGCTAGGTTTGGATTTGGGATTTTGTTTTCTATGTGCCTGGGTTTGTGGGTGCCCTTGTGTTCTCTGGATCTGGTGGTTCCTTTTCTGTAGCCATGTTGGGATTCATAGAAAGAGGGGAGGAAAGCAGGGGAGGGCCGCTGGCGAATTGAGAGGAGCTGGAGATTCTGGGTCCAATGGCTTGCAAAGACAGCAGGAGATTCTGGGTTTCCGAACAATATAGAAAGATGATTGCTTCTGGAGAAGCAAGCTTGAGATTCTGGGTTTCCGACATGCTCTACAGAAGAACGGTCAGAGGCAGCTTGTAAGATCCGTTGGAGATCCAGAGCCAGGCGGCAAAGATCCAGCGGAGAGCCAGATTTATTTGGCGTGAGACGCAAAATGGCCGGTGGGGAGGATTTGAGACCCAAAGTGGGTGATTTGCGTGAGGTGAACGACGAGGAGGGTGGATGCAGATTCGTCGTGGTGGCTGGATTTTCGTGAGAAAGAAACAAGCCTGGCGGGTAGAGGTGGCAAATGGATTGGATCCATGGGTTGGTGGATAGGATTGGTGGATCCATGGATCAAATGGATTGGATCCAATGGATTGGTGGATTCTTGGATTGGATCAAGTGGATTGGTGGATTATCTATGAATTCAAATGACATCCTCAACCTTGGACCAATATGTAAAATGTGAAAAGTTTAGGTACTAAAATGTTATAATGAAAAATTTTAGGTACCAAAACGTAATTTTCCAATGATATTTTTCGTATAAAAAATTAAATTTTGGGTACCAAAATGTAAAATATAAAAATTATAGGTACCAAACCATAATTTGCCATTTGGATCCATGGATTGATCCATAAATCCACCAATCTAATTGGATTTGGATCAAATGGATTGGATTTAAATGGATTGGATTAGGTGGATATTTTTAATAGATTGATGGATTGGATTGAGAATTGCCACCTCTACTGGCGGGTGGATAGATTAACGGAGATTGAAACAGGCCGGCGACTAGATGCGTCTGGCCCGGACAATTTTTTTTATAAAAAAAGTGGTGATTTGAGTTGGTTAGTCAACCGAGACAAATGTTACAATTAAAATAAAAAATGCGTTTTTTTTCTTTAATGAATTGACTCGATTTTGAACCGACATAAATATGATTTATGACGGTTATTTCAGCGGTTGTCCAAAACCAACACAAATTCGTTTAGTGTTTGGTTGGTGTGTATAAATAATATATATAGATAACACACATACATATGAAAAACATGATTGACTTAACTAAACCAATCATATATCAGTACCTAATAATTACATCATTTTTCTTCCACACATAATATAACTAGTCACTTAACATTGTCAAAATATTAACCTAACATAAGAAGTTTCGTAATAGTACATAAGTCATAACTCATAACCTAACTCCAATCATAAGAAGACACATAACAATTTGCTTACTAAGTTCTACCATATCGAAAATAGTAGGATTAGGACGTATGTTCTTCTCAATAATCGAATATAAAATTGACGTAACTTACATTCTTCACATAACATAGGTTATAGTTTATAGGCAAAATGCATCTGTGTAGCCAAAACTTTGACGTTTGTGACAATAATAGCCACTTTTGGAGAAATACAAAAAATAGCCAAAATTTTGAATTTCGCATGACAAATATAGCCATTTCCGTCCAAAATTTTAACGGTGTTACAAATTCCATCTGTTATGTTAACGGTACGCTAGCTGGAATGCCAAATCATTGCCACGTAAGGGACAACTCAGCCTCATTTGCCACATATATGCCATGTCACAATTAATTATTTTGTGTTTAGAAAAAATAACTATTTTATTTGTATTGATATCTTTCTCTTTCCTCCCCGCCATAAGCTTCCATATTTTGACGCATGATCTAGTCGGATATTCCCTCTCCCCCTCTACCACCCCTGTTGCCGACGAGTAAACATTGGGAGCCTTTGGGTCCTTAAGAACCCCAAACCCAGAACCAATTTGAGGCAACCATTATCAGACCCTCCTCGGCTCCTTCTTCCCCAAGTGAAATGCATATGTAGAAAGCCACCCAAAAACCCCAAAATGTCAGATGTAAAATCCAAAAAGTCACAGCTGTTAATGGTGGTCGAGCAGACACCATCCCCATCGGCGGAAGCCATAGAAACTCAATTGAGAGGGCCAACGATCCTCACTGTCGTTTTCGATGGCGCCGTCACACAAAATCGTTGGTCTTCCATGGCCTTGAGGATGCTGATTGCTCTGCCGTCCTTGATTTCCCCCTTTCCTGCAACAAAAACCCCAAACCCCAAATCCCTAAATCTCTGTTTCGTTCTCACCAGCGACAGAGATAGCGAACCCGAATATCCACATCATGCGCCAAAAGATCTATCCCTCCTCTCTGCATCTACAACCCCAGCGTATCGAAGAAATCAAAACTGGAGCTCATCGACACAATCTTCAGAATATCCAGATCTTGCCGTCGTCGAGCACTCGTCGATCCCGAACCCAAATCCCTTTCTCCGACACGAATCGAGGGTCAGAGTTTTGTGGCTCCATCTCTTCTATGTCTACTTAGATCTTACATGGCCTCGGAGAACTACAACGAGCCGGCTCTAGTGGAATCCATCTTTGCCATTAATTTCGAATCTTCGTCCTCTCCTTCCGTCCAGCTGTGGAATCGTCTTATGGCCGACAAGACAATGGGTGGAGAGAGGGAGCACGATGGAGCGTCGGTCACTTGCAGGTCGGTGTGTGCAGCGGTTAGGTAGTGGGTGGAGAGAGGGAGCACGATGGAGATGAGGCGGCGCTGAGTGAACGGAAGGGGAAAGAAGATAGAGGGGAGAGAAATTAAAAATGCTTAATAAATTTATTTTTATTATTTTTTTAATATTTCCACCTCACACCGTTATTGATAAAAATGTTGCCAGATTAGCTTTTTCGTCAATCTAGTCAGCACGTTAGATAACACCGTTAAAGAATTGGATGGAAGTGGCTATTTTGTGCATTTCTCAGAAAGTGGCTATTATTGGCAAATACTCGAAAATTATGGCTATACAAGTGTATTTTGCCTAGTTTATACCAACAATTTCATAACATATAACTATAGTTCATGGTTTAAGGTTAGTGCATAGGGTATACGGTCGTGGACTCGTGGTTTAGAGTTAGGAGGATTAGGACGTATGTTCTTCTCAATAACCGAATCTAAATTGACTTATCTTACATTCTTCACATAACATACGTTATAGTTTATACGAATAATTTCATAACATATAACTATAGTTCATCGTTTATGGTTAGTGTATAGGGTATAAGGTCATGGTTTAGAGTTTAGTGTTTGGGTTATGGTAAAGGGTTGAGGTTAGTTTTAGGGTAATGTATGGTTGATGGTGTTATAGGATAAGGGTTTAGGATTTCTTCATGGTTATGCTTTATGATAGATATTTTGGTTTATATATTTTATTATTTAATCTGTTTAACAATTAATTTAGCTATTTAGTAAAAAACGCATTTAAAACATTTTGAAAACTTGTGAATGTACATCGTACATCTATCATATTCAAATGACATCCCGACCAACGGATCGAACAACAAACTTGTTAATCGGTATACAATTTATCATTTATAATAATAAATATCAAAGGAAGAACAAAATGTTCACCAAAAAATTAAGGGAAATTTTTTGAATAAAAATTCAACAATTCAATCCCCAAATATCTGTCCCAAAATTCCCTCCCCATACCCACAAAAGAACTTTTAAAACCCCGCCTAAGATTTGGTCCCAAATTCCCTCCCAAACCCGCAAAACACTTTTAAATCCCTTGCACTATATTTTGTCCAAAGGCCAAAATTCCCTCCCAGCCTCCTTTATTGTAACAAAAAATATATATAATATTAATAATATATTTTTTTAATTCTTTAATGAATTGACATTAGTTAAGAAGGGAAAATACAAAATGGTTGCGTGAACCCAGGCCCAGCCTCATTGCAAAATGGTGACTGGTGAGTTTGTTTTAAATTAGTGTAATAACTAATTAAAAAAAACTTGATGGTTTGGACCGAACAACCCGCAACCCGACCTGTTGTAACCCGCAATCCGATCAACCCGAACCCGATTGATCCGCAACCCGATCAACCTGTAACCCGTTTGATCCGCAACCCGATCGACCCGAACCCGATTTTCCCGCAACCCGATCGACCCGCAACCCGATCAATCCGCAACCCAATCAACCCGAACCTGCTTGACCCACAACCCGATCGACCCGCGACCCGATTAACCCGCGACCCAACTGAACCCGACCCGAACCCGCTCGAACCCGCCCGATTGACACCTAGACTCATAATCGTACATCTCACTAAACCTCTAAGATGACACATGATTTTTTATCATAGATAGTGAATCATAAGCAGCTTACATGGTCAACCCTCGCACTTAAAAAATTAGACCAGATCAATGAGGTGCATATCTCATAAGGACAATCTGGCCAATCTCTATCAATCATAAGCTCTTAACTCAACTCGAGAGTCAAAAAAACATTTGGGTGAAGCTTTTTGCAAGCTTTATTTGAAAGTTTAAGCACATATTTTTCTTTATTTGACAATGAGATTTTTATGTCCTCTCTTTACGAGTAGCATGTCGATTTTTATGCTTTTTGTAGCAGAAGTGGGTTTACATGGGTACATCGTAGGCTTGATCAAGTAAGATCAATTTCCGCACCTTAGCACTACATAAGGGCTTTGTTTATCTCTTTTTTTTCTCTATTGTGTGGAGAGGCAATGTTATAGATGGTTGTTGGAAGCCCTATCTGTGCCCTATAAGCATATTTCTCAAACTACATTTTATTCAACGAGAGATTGCACTAGATAAGCAACATCGTATGACTGCGAACCGATGCTCAATGAAATCGTTCCTATTCTCTCTTTGCAATAAGTGATTGGCTCACATGTGGTATACTTTACCCCAACCTTTATTTGTAAAGTTAGAATCTTTTATACGACTTTGTCGAGTAGAATTTTTGGATGTATATAAAGATACCGTTCGACCCAAATAAAAGTTTTAAAGCATGAGACCCGTTGGAAGAGTATAAGAACTCACAAAGGTTAGTGATAGTTATTGTATCCAAACATTTCGAATAGTCTTTAGTCTCATGATGAGGACAACTTTCATAGCCCCTATACTAGCCTCCCTAGATCACGTATTAATGTAGATACTAGCAATTCAAAGTAAGATAAGTTTTGGAATTGCTTTGGGGAGTGTGACATTATTTCGAACAATTTGAAATTCTTATGATTTGCAATAATGCACACAATTGTAACCCATATGTCGAGGTGGATCCATGAAGTGCAATCTACTAAACTCACCCCACACTTTAAAGGGGCCAATTTTCCCATTGGCCTAACAAGGAAGAGTAGAACGAATACACCTCGATTGTTGGAATGATCCATGCACAGTTGGCTAGTTCCTCTTGGTTCATGGTACTTAACGGAAAAGAAAGGAGAAGGAAAACAGAGAGAGCAAGCGTGCCATCTCCTCAACCTAAGGCAAGCACCTTCGAAAGGTATACCTAACGGTTCTCTTGAATGCAAAACCAAGTCATTTAAGCTGCAACAAAGGAGGTTGCAGCTCATAGCAAAGATTCTCCTAACTCAAACAACGGAGAGCAAAACAACTAATGCTAGGTGACATGCACATTGCAAGACCATGTTTGCATAGAATATGTGTGTTCTCATAAGCGATGAGCCTTATCTTCGGCCAATTATTGGATTCCTTGTATTTTTGCTTATGAACGAGCCGTACACAACGATTGGAGGCCGATTATCCAAAAGTAGGACGATTGGAAGTGGCAACACCCTCACTTCCCAAGGGGAGAGTGTCACTCTTAAGGTGCGCCAAAATCATGTATTTTGTTTCATTGTTGAACATATTGTTGCTAAAAATGTAATTTAATCCTACATTGTAGTGCTTATAATTATCTTAAATAAAAATGTGTGGTGACATTTATATATATATATTTTTTACGATAATATGTAATAAAAAATTTCAGTCCCCTCCTGAACTTCAAATCCTGACTCCGTATCTAATCCCAATATGTGAATTTTCTTAACTTTTGTTATTAATATGCTTCAAACATATTGTGGATATTGCTGACACATGTTGTGATTTGTAAATATCCTCATAGAACACGTGGTGTGAACACTCTAATTGAACACATACCGTGAATAATTTTAGCGCATGTCGTGAATGCGATGCATGTAGTACCCCTGAAAAGAACATCTCAAATTATATGGCAAAATATATGGATATTGGTCTTATTAGGGGGAAAACAATTTCTTACTAAAATGATAATTTTTAACTAAAAATTAAAGAAAATAAAACCGTCAGAATGCGCTGACAGGGAATGAGTTCACAAGAGGATAGTGCTTATGCAGTTGAGCTACCATTGCATTTGCAGCCGGCTGGTCGTAGCAGCTCTATGGTAGATTCAGTTCCCCCATTCGGGACTGTCAGTCAATGAGTAGGTTTCAGTTTTGCCAGTTAATAGTTAATACCAGTTTTCGGTTGCATTAGAGTATGCCTGCATCAGAAGTTGGGCTTGTTCCTTAGCTAGATCTGTAGGTGCTGTAGCAAAACTTATTGCAAAAGAGGGGAAATCGACAACATTAAAATTATCTTATGGGGAGGTGCGTTTAATATCCAAAAATTGCTCAGCAACAGTCGGACAAGTAGGAAATGTTGGGGTGAACCATAAAAGTTTGGGTAGAGCCGGATCTAAATGTTGGCTAGACAAGCGTCCTGTAGTAAAAGGAGTAGTTACGAATCCTATAGACCATCCCCATGGGGCCATGGGGGTGGTGAAGGGAGGGCCCCAATTGGTAGAAAAAAACCTGCAACCCTTTGGGATTATCCTACACTTGGAAGAAGAAGTAGAAAAAGGAATAAATATGGGAAAATTGCAAGATTGGTCACTGGGATTACCAAAAACGTTCATGTTTGATCACTGAAAATATTTTCATTCATGGTCACTAGATTTAGTTTAACCATCCAAGTTTGGTCGCTCTCCGTTAGTCTCCGTCCACTTCTGTTAACGGCGTCAATGTTGTGCTGACGTGGCTAACAGACATGCTGAGTCATAATTTGATTCTACGTCATCGTAGTAAATAGGAGAGAAAATCGAATTTGTTTCTTCCTCGTTTTTAAAAAAAAAAGGAGAAATTCACTGTGGCACGTTCATTAGAAAAAAATCCTTTTGTAGCAAATTATTTATTAATAAAAATAAATAAGCTTAACATAAAGGCAGAAAAAGAAATCATAGTAACGTGGTCCCGGGCATCTACCATTATACCCACAATGATTGGCCATACTATTGCTATCCATAATGGAAAAGAGCATTTACCTGTTTATATAACAGACCGTATGGTGGGCCATAAATTGGGAGAATTTTCACCGACTCGAAATTTTCAGGGAAACATCGTTAGCGTACTTAAGTGATTTTACACCAACATTCATTGTCAGAAAAAACGTTTTGTTTTGTGATGATGCGTCACCTTAACGAACACGTCCAAAACTACGCCGTCCTACGAACATTCGACAAACTCTTGAGCTCGGATCATCAGAAAGGTTAGAAACCATGTAACAACGTTGCGGCAAACCCCCAACAAATTTGCGCCATTTTCCCCCTCTCAACTCAAAACTCCAGAATACAGATTGGGGTAGAAGGAAACGTCGCGTGTGCAACTGTGTAAAGGGTAATTAGCCCAAGAAGAGGTAGGAAGGAAGGAACAAAGGAAAAAAGACATTTGTTGAATCATACATCATATACAACCACCCATTTCCAATCCCCACCCCGTTTCTAATTTGATGTAAACCTAATTACCCCCGATAACCATCGTTTATACCCTCTGTAAAATACCTCTAGTCTGTGCCTGCACACATACAAATGACTATGACCACGACGACGATGATGATGGAACTATATACCGTCTCTGTCTCTGTGTATGTCTCACTGCCTCTTGGCTACAGTTTTCATCAAGCCCTTGATGATCTTGGAAAACCACATCAAGTTCATTATAAACAATGTTGATGGCACCATCACAACCACCAGGCATCCAAACCATCTCATCTGGAGAACCTGCCAATTCCCGTGGGGGAAACGTAAAAATGAACAAATGAGAAGCAGCTTCAGGTATTAGAATAATGTCTTTCTCGCTTTAGCACCAACAACGCGGCAGAAAGTAAGATAATGGATCCCCGCACCTGATCGAAGTGCATGTTGATGTGGTAGAAGATGTAAAAGAAGAGCAGCACTCTGGCAATCTGCAGGTGCCAGACAAAGTTCAGATAGAAACCCAAATCAACGCCTTCGATTCGTTCGAAAAACACATCCCTCTTGCACAGCAAACTTGAAAAAGGGTTTTTTACTCACCAACCAAAAGAGGAAGATCAGAACACCATTTACAAGATAAGCAGTTGACCGCTTCATACCTGATATGTCCAGATACCTATAAAAAGAGTTCACATGATTGAAGTCCTAAAATGTTCACTGCTTTTTGCCATTTCGGAAGTCTGGGAGTCAGAAAGGACTTATCAAAAGAGCTACTTACCATCTCATGTTTATTTCTGGCGTGGTCACTTCAGAGATGAGGCACATATATGTATACAGCTGCCCTTCTCCGGATAACATAGAATATGCAACCGCTATTGCAGAAAGACAGTGATGAACAACCTGAAACCAGATGCCATTATTCAAAGAGTTATAACTTCTATCGATCATCGTATTATCAGGAGCCATGCTTTTCATTTCAATAGATGTTCTCTCTTACTCTTTTAGACTTACATAAACACCAACAATGTTCACAAGTTTAATGAGCGAGCTAGCTCTCCCTCAACAATAGATTTACGAACCAGAACGTCAAAAGTTCATTTGCAGAGTTGAAGAGTCTTGTCTTGGACTTTAATATTTACAAGTGATGAGAATTGTACAGAAAACAGAGCGATCAATATAATTAGTACATCATATTGCACAACGCAACCTCATTCTGATGGGAAACCATTGATACCAGTATTGGACAAAACATGAATACGTGATGTATATATACTTCTAAACGGAAGGAGAACATTCATTAATATATCAGAGAATTGCAGGGAGCAATGGGACATTACCACCAAGCAAAAACTTTGACTTTAGTGCATTGAATTTGTCAAATTCAAACAAATTCAGTGGAAGAAGAGACAGAAAGAATTTCCTTACATATTCCATTCCACCTAAAGATGGATAAAGCCAAATAATCATCCCAAGATCTGCAAGGAAGTATCCAACAGAAACCTGTCAAATGAAGAGAAAGTCAATAACATGCCAGAGTTAGTTTTTCTACAGAATACATGACACCAATGACAAGAAACTAGCTAAACAGGTACATCAGTCACTCTTTCTGTCCTAACTTTGTTTTTTTCATTTATCAAAGGAAAGGAAATGCCCTAACAGGTAAGCAAAAAAGATCCAACCCTCAGCAGATATGACATGAGAAATATTGACTAAACCCGAAATCTAGAAGTTATAGCAGAGATCAGCCTTACATACAAATACCACTATCGAAGAGCATTTCCAGAAAACATTTTGATCAGCATATTAGAAAAACTAAGCTACGTGATAATAAATTGTCAATGCATAAGAACTTTGAATAAAATGCTTCATTATACTTCCAAACAGGATAGACAACAATATCATTCGGTGCAGAAAATAAAGATACCAGATGAATCATTGAAAAGTTTTCGAAGACAGAAGAACAACCATATGTGAAGCCACTCACAAACTATTACCAAAAAGGTACAAACTAACAATAAAAAGTCCTTTCCAGAAAGATCAGCACTGTGATGCCCAAGCACAAACAACTGATAGACGTCAAAGATCAATGTCAGGGTTAAAAAGAGGAGAAAGGCCACTTACTGCCAGTCCAAATATGGATAAAGGTGAGCTTCGTAGAGTGACATAACCAGTATGCACTTTGTCTGAAAAAAGATCAGACCAGAATACAAAGTACAACGACAAAGCTGTTATAAAGATGGCGTGCAATGAAGACATCCCCCTGCAAAAATTGGGTCACTGATAGGTAAGGACTAACCAACGATATTGACAGGATAATGAAAAGCCAGAATTAGATATGCCCTGACCGATTGTTCCATTCAATTCTTTGTATTTTCGTAAGCCCAGTGTACGCCTTGATGTAAAAGGTGCTAATTAACTGAGTTAGATCATAGACCTGTTAGAAGGAAAGTCATCAAATTCAACATCCAAATCGAATCTCAGCATAAGCACAGGCCACATAATCAATAAACAATAACATTCAAAGATTAAAACAGGACGGGGGCATCTATTATGAAGTAAGGATGACATACCACTTTGCAAGCAATTACTCCGCCAAGGACAGAGGTGTATGGAACAAAAGGATCTGCAAATAAGTAACTCTTAACCAGCACCTTAGCCTGACTACGGTAGGCCTCAATCGCCATAACAGTCTCCTTTGGAACGGTCACCATTGCCAGTTAAATCAGATACGTTGTTGTATCTCAATTGATATTACTTGTTGTAACTGTATCCTAACTTATCACTGTTATCCTTCAGATGCTTTCCTGACAGACATGAAATCAATGGCCAAGTCAAATTGAATGGAATGCCATAGACTAAACCAGCAGTACAATGTAACACAAGATGAATGTAAAGAGCATTGGGAAGGTGCATCTGTAACAGTTTGAGCAGCCTGAAAGCAACAGATGTCGATTGCAATGAAACAGAAACTGGAGAAAATTACAGCAGACAGGAAAACCACCTATTGCTATGGGCACCAAGACGATCGTAATGAAACTGAACAAACCTTGCAACAATTTTGATTTTTTTCCCTATTCAATTGAGAACTTTAGAACAATGGTAATAAATAAACAAAGCTCAAGATACAGATGAACAAGAAGTCCACAGAGATTTCTCTTGGAAAAGCTGAAAACATATAAACAAAAACAAAGGAAAAAGACGAGACAGCAATCAAATGAAATTCATCAACGTGGTCCACCATCCGCAGAGCTTGCAAGTCTCCATCAAAATAAAAAGAACCCAGAAAGCTCTTCAAAGGCTTAGAGCCAAATCAATTAGATTCATCCCAAACTCAATCTATACACATGCCATAGAATCAAATTGTAACCACATTCCGCATCCAATCCCCAAATGAAATCACGAAAGCGATCAACCCCTCCCCCACATCCCACAAGCAATTAGATTCATCCCAACTGCGATTTGCAACTAGAAGGCGACGTTGCATTACAGAGAGGGGAACATTCACAGGTTATTACCCAGGACAAAATAGAGACTTTCTCAACGCCATCAAAGATGAAAGGAAGAAGCTCCTATAGAAGGAGATTGTGGGGAGGAAGGGAACTCACAAATAAGCATCAGCTTTCGCGTATCGCCCAAGAAAACTTGCGGCCCGCCCGATAGATCCGAGGGAGTAAATTGGGGCAGGTGGGATATTAAAGACACAAAACGGAAACCCCTCTCCCAGAATCGGGATAAAAGGCAATCAATAGGGGCGAAAAGCTTGAGATGAAAGAAATAGAGTGCTAAACCCAGAAAAAGAGAGAACAGAACGCAAACGCAGGAGACCGCCGAGTAAATGCCAGGTGAAGGGAAGGTTGGGGGACTAGAGACTTCTGATTTCTGATGGGCGAAGAGAGAGATAGAGAGAGCGGAGGCGATGGAATAAGGAAGGAATCGCCAACGCTGGACATAGATGATAGAATTAGTAAAATATGATACGGGGAAGTTACCAACAAAATATATATAGAGTATTTAAAATCTTGATTTTATTTATCTATTCCAGTTTTGATTTTATTATAAAATCAATAGATCTTAAAATCTTGTACTATTCATGATACAAATTTTTAAAATCTTACGATTTGACGATTCAAATCTTTGGGTCAATTTTACTTATTTTTTAAAAAATGTGTAAAATTATGGCCCTTTTACTTCTCCTCCACCAACATTATCTATTTTTCTCACACTAACCATTATAGACCATTATCATTCCCATCAACGTATTAATCATCATCGATTCACCACTTTCCAAAATTAACCATGATAAATTGAAAGATTAACTTTGAGAAATTGTCATTGTAAGCCGTGGCGGAGCCACTTGAGGCCAAAGTGGGTCATTTTGCACCACCTTGGCCCAAAAAATATATGATGAATTTGTTTATATGATTATGGATTGCGTTTAAGACCTTTCTAGATAATTTACAAAAAGTAATGCTTAGTGATCTCTATTTAACTTTTAATTCATATATTATGTAAGTGAGTTTAATATAAATAAAAACTCAAAATTCAGGGGTGTTTGTTGCTATCGGAAGTGTTGAAAAAGCATTTACTACAACAAACAAAGTAAAAAAACACTTCAGAATAAGGAGTTGTGGAATTATGAATGATTTATTGTTGTTGTATCTTAACAATATCTCTAATAATTTGCATGATGAATGTATTTTACAAAACAAATTCAAAACATGAACACATGCTAAAACTTACATTTTTTCCCCATGTTTGACCTACCTCAGATTATATTCTTGCTACGCCACTGATTGAAAGTATTATGTGTTTTTTGTGTTATTCATGATTTTTCTTATTAATATTATTTCATCTTCGTTCTTATATGAACCTTAAAATCCCGATTTTCGATTTTACGTAAAATCTCGATTTTGACTGCTATGAAAATATGTACGAGTATTTTACTTCGTCTCTAAGCGAATTTTATGTTTAATAGTACGTTAGTAGTCATAAATATATAAAATTTGTTTGAGCCCGGGCGACTGGGCGTCACTCGGGTCCAAGGGGTTTGGGACGTCAGCCATGACTTTAAGGGGGTAGGCGCCCCGCCTCGTCAGAAGTAGAAAAAGAGAAGAAGTATATAGAGAGAGAAAGTAGAGAGAAGTTAGAGTAAAAGTAGATAGATTGCCATTTATGAGGAGAGAACTCCTATTTATACACATTTGAGGGTTAGGTAGTGGTCTGGGCGCCTGCCAAGCCATAAATGCTGTGGTCGGGCGCCTCAGACCTTCTGACACTGTACATGGTCCTTTTTGACAGAGGGTGTCCCCCTGCCCCTTGTCCTTGCTGATGTCAGGTGCCTGGCCTTGTCTCTTGTCTCCCAGCCTTGTCTTTTTGCTCTTTTGTCTTCTTTCCTTCTTTATGCCATTAGCTAGGGTATTGTTTCCTTAGTTACTAGGATACCCTATCAATTGCCCCTTTTGGCAATGGCGTGAGTATCGCGGTATCGTCAAACAAGTATGTTCTTTGATGGTAAAAAATACAAAAAACTGTAAAAGAATAGATAAAGAATAAATAAAATAAATAAATAAAAAATTAGAATTAGTAAAAAGGAAAGAGAGAAAAAATTACAAAATAATAAATAAGCAAAATAAATAAGATAACAGAAAAAACAAAAATCATTGGCAAGGAGTGGGGTGGCAGCGAAGACGCCACCCCATATAGGCTGCTAGCGGCAGCTTTGGGCCAAGCCCACTCAAAATTTGGAGGGGGTGGTTTTAATTGAGAGGAGGTGATGGAAGGTTGGGCCCTAGGGTAGCCCGCCTCGAGAACCGTGCGCTCTCCTTCATTCCTATTTAAATCCCCCCTCCTCCTCATTCATTCCATCCTTCACTTTTTTCTTCTCAATTTTCGGCCGCTCCCCTCTCTCCTCGGCGCCTCTCAATTTTCGGCCGCTCCCCTCTCTCATCGGCGCCTCTCATCCCTCCGCTCCGACTGTATTGGGAAGGCGCCTCTCTTTCTCTTCGGCGCCTTGCTTCTCCGAACAAGCGGCGCCTCCCAAGCTAATCGCTTCGCTTCGCTTCTCCGAGCGGGCGGCGCCACCCACCACGCACTAGGTACGTTTTACTTGGATTGAGGAGGCGGCGCCTCCGATAATAATTTGGCGTTAGCTAGGGTTTTTCTTCTCTTGTTTGTACGGTGGCGCCTCTTACTGTTTCTTTTCTTGTTTGTACCATTAGCTAGGGCTTCTTTGATTGAGGGCGCCTTCCTGTTGGCTCTCGGCGCCACTCCACGGCTCTTCCCCTTACATGCCCCTTCTTGTTGGTTCTCGGCGGCAGGCGCCACGTTGCTTACGCATCCAGGCGAGTTTCTAACTTCCGATCGGGGGCGCCACCCCTCCTCTTTTTTGCACATGCGCTTTGGTTTCTTAACGGACTTCGAGAGGATCTAATCCGGCCGCCCCTTCCAATTGGGAGCGCCACCTCCCCTACTTTTCGCTAGGCGCCTTCGCTTTTTGTTTGTACCAATTTTCTTTGGCGGGCGCTATCCTTTGTTGCATTGGGTAGCGCCTCATTGAGATTCAATTAGGGACATCACGCTCTTCGTTAATTTCTCTGTAGCCTTCTTTGATTGCTGTCTGTCTGCTTCCGCTTTTCGATTGGTTTTTTGGTTGTTTCATTTCAAAAGCGCCGCCCTGCTAACCCGCGCCTTGCTCGTCTGTGCTGCAGGTTTCGATTTTAAGGCGTCAAAGGCGCCTCTTAACACATAGTCACGGGGAGCGACAACGGTTTCTTACCCGCGCGTTACCGGCTTAGGCGTTATACCCGATTCTCCTCCAAGACCCGTTTTGCTGCCCATCATTCTCTTATGGCTTCCAATAATTCGCAACCCTCTTCCTCTATGGGTGGCGCCTCTGCTCCCTCCAAGGGGAAAGCCCAGGCCTCTTCGAGCCGAGTCAGGAAGATGGGTAAGTAATTCTCTCCCCCTTTGTGTTTTAAACTTCACATGGTAGCGTTGGTCTTTAGGGAGTTTTAGTTGGATGTACAGTGTATGGAAAAGCTAAGTGGAGGCTTTCCGAGATCGTCAGTGATGCTGAATCAGATCCACAAGTAGAGTCACTTACTGAGGGTGACATGTCAAGTGTGGAGCTTGAGCCTGAAACGAGCAATTTTTTAGCCACTGATGACGCCGATTACCGCGTTCTGCGATGGCGCGGTATGTGGGGTGATCAGGCGCCTCCCACTTCTGTTCGCCTCCTTGGACCTGACAAGCGACCCAGTATCCAGTTGCATCGGGTCATGTCTTACCTCCGTGGCCTAGGCTTTCTTCGAGACTGGGAGTACGCTCTTCCTGATCCTGGCGCGCGTATTGGTAGTTGTCCTGAGGGTTGGTTCGCGGTTTATTCGGAGTACTTAAAGTGTGGTTTGAAGTTTTCGTTAAATCCCATCTTATCGGGTATCCTGGAGATGGTTGAGTGTCCTCTCAGTTTTCTCTCTCCCTCACTTATTTTTCATACTTGCGCCTTCTGATTGATCTGCAAGCGCCTTGGCTATGACCCTTCCTTCCCTATCTTCCGAAGTATATATTCTTTAGAACGAGGTAAACATGGTTGGTCAGCTTTGAAGCGCGACAACAAGTACCATGGCCGAGTCTGCAAGGGTTCTCCCAAGCTCCCCAGCAAGTGGTATTGTTCATATTTCTTCATTAGGCCACGCCATGGTACTTGGCATGCATCGACGGAGACACCTCTTTTGACTTCGTGGAACGAAGGTTCAGACGAGGCGTGGGCTAGGGACTTCTCCCTTGAGAAGCTTGAGCGAGAACAAAAACATCATATTCTTCGAGCGCCTCCGGTGGATTTTGCAAGAAAGGGGGAGAGGGCGCGCACCTTGGGGGAGCTCTATGACACCGGTATATTTTGATTACTACGATTTAGATTTTGTCCACAAACTTATGTCATTTTCATAACTCATTTTCTTGCAGATTTCGACTACTCGAGCTTGGTGAAGATGACGAAGAAGGCGCAAGGCGCTTCCAGGACTGGGTCGCAGAAGGCGCCTAGCGTCCCTTCAGGCGCGTGCTTCGCTCCTCCGAGCAGGTGCCTGACGCTACCGGTGAAGCCTCGTCTCCTCAGTTGCTCCTTCCCTTGGATCCACGCGACCCTCTCCCGGAGAAGGCCTCGGGAAAGCGTCCTGCTTCCGCGAGCTCCCCTGCTGAGGTCCAAAAGAAGAAGAAGAAGCTCGGACTTGGGAGTATCGATGAGATTTTGGCACCTCCACGTTCGAGGCGCGTGGTGAAGTCCAAAGAGCTCGTTCCTATCTCTCCCTCTGCTGCCCTCAATGCGCCGAGCACATTCACTTCTGCCTTGGAGTTGAAGGACTTTCTGAAGCCACCCCTCGATGAGGGCACTTCTCCTGCCGGCGCGGCATGTCAACATCTGTTTCAGGTATGCTTTCGTATTCTTTCTCCTTCTCAGCTGATGTTTATGTCCTCACTTTTGACGCTGTTTTGTTCAGGCCATGCTTGATGTAGTGACGCTTTCTGGCAAGAGTCAGGAAAACCGAGAGCGCGCCCATAAGAACTACCTGATGGCTTCTCAACTGAAGACTGATAAGGCAACCCTGCAAGATGTCAACTTTCGTTTGGAGAGTGAGTTGTCGTCGGTGAAGTAGCAACTATCTGATGCATTGGCCGCCGGGAGCGCTTCTGCTCGTGAGGAGATGGAGAAGGAGCTAGCGCTTCGAAAAAAGAAAGTTGAGGATTTGGAGAAGGAGCTACAGGCTGTGTCTACAACCAAAAGGCGCCAGCAGGTAAGCCTCTCCCCTTGCGTGTCCTCTTCTTCTACTCGGAGGGGTGACACCTCGCGTTTTTGTCTGTCTATTTTTTGCATGGGCTAACAAATTTTCTTTAATTCCTAGGAGGAGTTCAAGAAGAAATTAGCCAAGGAACGCGAGGATGCTGTGGACGCTCATTTGG